TTTTTACTTCATCACTCAAGTCTTGAGGCAGGTTATACTGGTAGGTACAGTGATCTGCTGGTGCTGAGGGAGCTGGTAACAAGAGGAGTGGGAATGTGCACATTACCCCTGTACACACCACGTGGGGCACAAGGCAGGAAAAAATAACTGACTCCCTTACAGTAGCCAGCAGATCTGGCTGCAGCTGCAGTTTCTGGTCCGTCCACTATTACTTCTTGAAAACAGCAATGCCAAATTACACTCAGAATGAAAATCCTTTCACCTGCCAAGGAAGAATTACATTTCTGTGCCTGCCCTGCAGAGTTTGAAGGGCTGGCTTGTGTCTGTTTTCAGTACTAGCACTCCACAATCAACAAGAGCTGGAAAGAGAAAGTCACTGAATCCCCTTTTCTCAAAGGGAAAGAATCAGTTGAGTTCTTCCACTAGATTTGGCAGAGGCATGCTGCTCAGCAAGATGACTTAAAAAACCAAAACAAAACCACAAAAAAATCCATAGGAACTTCAGCAGCATTAGCAATTAAGGCTTTGTTAAAAAAAAAAAAAGTCACTATTAAAAAACCCACAAAAACAAACAAAAACCCACAAAAAACAAACAAAAAGAACCACACACCAAAAAAAAAAAAAACCCAAAAAACAAACAAAAACCCCCAAAAACAAAACAAAAAAACAGTAACAAAAAACCCCCACAAAAACCCAAGACTTCTTAGTTTGAACTCTAAGTCCATAATGAAAAAGACTAACACCAAAGTATATGAGATTGACTTTGTCAGTTTGTTTTATTACTGGGCACAGCACCGTACCATTTCATATGCATACAAGCCACAGTAATACAAACAGTACCTCGCCTTTTTTATAATTAAAAAAACACATGGCATTTGGGAGGAGCCAGCAGTCCCAGGGTGCAGCTCTCAAGAGCTATTTTACTGCAGTTGCAGTAGCAGCAGTTTTCTCACAAAATACTGTGGGTTTTCATGCTGTTAATATGTGAAACTGAAAAGTCTGAGCTTGCAGCATTGCCTCTGCTTAACATGGTCAAGGCAGGCTTTACAGCAGCTCACAGGCACACAAGTATGCTCACTCATGGTGCTCTGCAGTCAAATGGAAGGTGCCAGACAGACACCCCTGTATGGAATCAGAACCCTCAAAAAATGCTTCTACAGAAACCCACGTCATCCTGAAGCACCAGAGGTTTATCCAGGTCAGGGCATCCTGGCAGCTTTCCTGCAGGCAGCACAGGCTTCCCACACAGGCAGGACCTTTTCTTACAGAGTCAGGTATGTCTGGAGCAGCACAAGGACAGTGAAGCCTGGAGAAAAGCTTGTCATTAAAGCAGGCTTAGCTCCTCAGAAAACAGATTTAAAACTAGAAGGCACAAATGCAAGGTTGAGCGTGGGCTGCATACCACTGTGGCATGTGAGTAGTTTAGATAACCCCTCCTAAGAGGAAATGTATCACATAATAAATACAGTATGACATTTTAGAAAAGAAGTGCATTACTGTGATCCTTCACAACATAAGGAAGTAGGATCCACAAGAGCATTAAGAGGCCTGTTCACTTTATATTGCACAAACATTCTAAAATTTAGTGTCAGGTGATTGCATTGGAGGTGGGACAAGGCAGGAGAAAAAAAATAAAGGTTTTATTTGGCGGAATCTGCCAAAGTCTCCACCACCACACAAACAGTTTTTTGCCAATCTCCAAAGTCTCCACCACCACACAAACAGTTTTTTGCCAATCTGAGGTAGAATTACATAGATACTGCTTAAATCCAGTCAAGTCCTGCTCAACTAGTCTTAAAAAAAAAAAAAAAAGGTAAGAAAAAAAGAGAAAGTGCACAGAATAGATGAGCCTCTTTCTCTACAGAAAACAAGTGCCTCAGGTTTAACTCCCAGAAGCAAGTCTTACAAAGCAGAGTTCCTGTGAAGATCCCAGCTCCTCAGCTGGAAAGCAGTGATGGGTATGGTGATGCTACAGATAAGGAGTGTAACAAGTACTAACTGCAAGTCCTATAGCAAGCCTTTTACTCTCCACTTCCCTCCTCCCTCCCCAGCTACTTGCTAGCTCTCCCTTTACTCACTCAGTCCAGTATATTTTATCAGAGTTAAGATTGTCCCCACTGCTTTCTTCTCCCTTATGTCCCTTTTACTGAACCTGCAAAAATATTTCCTATTTCAACCCTTAGACTTCTGAGGGACACTTGCAGTTTCTTCTAGAGACTCCTCTGTGTAGTATAGACAAGGAAGGATGGAGATAAGAGCCTCCTCGATGGAGAAGAGATGTTTGTCCTCTGCTTGAGGACAGAAGTAGCGCATAAAGTCTGCCAGTCTCAGCAAGTACTCTATGTTGTGACCAGCACAACCACTCGAGACAATGATTTGAGCTGCAATGTCTTCTTCAGATGCTGGGCCAAGGTAGGAAGGGTTCTGGGGTGTTGCAATGTAAACAAGAGCCAGGATGGGTTCCTCTGCATCTTTCTCCTGAGGGTGGAACTTCACCAGCTTGGTGTCATAGCCTCCCAGGACAGCTTCTCGCATGTTGAGATACTCGAGCGATGCAGCGATTTGCTCCCCACGGACCTCATAGGCTACACCCCACGTGCATGCCTGCAAGTCAAAGAGCGGGGTGGTTACGGGATGCTGTACCTGCGCTGGCCTGTCGAGCCGCCCGCCAATGTTTCAAATCAAGGCTCCCTTACTCGGGGGTCCCCCCACAAGTGATGGGAGAGCAGAGAAAGGCTCTCACCGCACAACCCCCCACGATCCCGGCGGGGCTTGAGAGCACTCGGCTCCCACCACACGTGTCCAGGAGGTGAGGCGGGCACCCCCCGCCCAGGCCAGCCCCAGCTCCCCGGTACTCACCCCGCAGTCCTCCAGCAGCGTCACCACCCGCCCGGGCTGTGGGCACAGAAAGGCAGCGCGTTAGAACCGAGCTGAGCCGAGTGCGGCAACCCAGCACCCCGCGCCCCCCGGCCCTTACCATCTTCTCGCTGCCGCGGTGGAAGGTGTCCCCCTGCCAGAAGCGGCGGCTGTAGCCGCGGATGAAGCCCACCTTGCGCGACGTGAACTCGAAGCCCGGCCTCCACACCAGCGAGCCGTACCCGAAGATCCACACCGGGGCCGCCAGCTCCGCGCCCTCCGCCTGCCCCGAGGGCGACGAGGAGGAGGAGGAGGAGGAGGAGAGGGGCGGGCGTGGCGGCGGCTCCGGGCTCTCCTCGGGGAGCTGCGGGTCGCGCTTCATCTCGGCGCTGCGGCGGTGGCGGTGTCGCGGCTCGGCCGCCGCTGCGCTTTAAAGGCGGCCCGGGCCGCCCGCCCCGCCCCGCCCGCCCGGGTGATGCAACGAGGGCGGGAGGTTTCGCGGCGCCGCGCGTGGGGCAAAGCGGGGCGCGGGTTGCGTCAGGCGGGGTGCCCGGCCCGGGGTCCGCCTGTCCGGCAGCGCCGGGTGCCGCATTCCCGCGGGCACGCCAGGGCATCGGCCGCGGCCGGAGCGCAGAGGCCGCCGGAGCAGAGCGCGCCGTGCCCAAGGGGAGAAGCTGCGCTGCAATGAGCGGGCCGGCCCCTCTCTGCAGCCCGACCCGCGCTCCCGGCTTTGGCTTTACCCCAGAAGCTGAGGTGCTGCGGTGGAAAACCAGGCGGTTAATGTTTAACAGGGTGGCGCGACAGCGCCTGACGTCCACAGGGCCAAGGTGTAAGGAACATAGGCGAAACAGAATAATAACATCCGCACTAATGCGAGGACACGGTGCTGAATCCAGCTACTTGAGTGCATTTTCCCTAGTACTATATCCAGGCTGGAGTGTCAGCTTGTAATACATAAATAACATTTGTTACATGGAGGGGTGCAAGTGCTGTTTGTGTATGGGATGGACAGCTGTCAACCAGCTGTCAACCAGCTCTAGGCAGGTTGTGACAGCTAAAGAGGTGGATTTTTACATTACAAAGTAACTCCTTTTGGTGAAGAGGAGAAAGAATAAAAAACAAAATTGCCAAAGTGTTTCTCATTATTGTTCTTGTCCTTTGCACTCAATCAATCTAAACAGTCTATTTACAGTTTTTTACTTAGCTTCCTGTTGATCCCCATCCAACTGGCACCCACCTTTCCATTCCGCTTCACAGGGTGTTGCAGCTACAACACCCTCAGTGTGTGGTGGGTGCTCCCTGTACTGTGGTGTGTTCACCACAGGTGATAAGAGTCCGCATGGCTCTCACATCTGCCCTGCTGCTCTGTGCCTCACACAGCACGTCCTTTTCTCCTGCCCTGCACGACTGACTGACTTGTCACTGTGATGACCCTTCCCAAGGTCAGCCTTGTTACAGAGCCCAAAGCTCCTTCATTTTCCTCTCCACTTGCGCTTTTCCCAGTCACCTTCTCTGTCTTACTCAGGCTCAAAGGTATGGGGTTGGCATGGCATGCTCCCAGTCCTTCACACCACACACCCATCCTGGCACAGGCTGCAGCCTCTTAATCCCTTTCTGCTGGTCCCTTTGCATTGGCAGAAGGTGAATCTGTCACCTGTCTGTACAGCTGCTCTGTTCAGAGTCCTTTGACCAGAAAATGCTCCAGAAACTGTTCTTGTCAGCTGTCTGTATCAAAGCTCCACTTGGCAAAACAAGAAACTGATGTCTAGTCTTATGTTTTTTTAGTCTTGTGGTTCCTGTCCCCTAACATACAAGACTCCTGCCTTAGCAGGAGTTTGTCAATGCTAAAATGATGTGGCCTTTCAATAAAATTAAAACAGTATCCTCTGGGAATTTAACCAGTCTTCTGTGTCCCATTGTATATGTAGGGCAAGTGTATATTTTTCATATTCACCTCTTCACTTTTTGTTTCCTGCTAAAATTAAGGAAATTCGAGCAAACCCCCAATATGTAGTTAATAAAAGCATTAAAACACTTGTCTGTAGGTGCATCCTCATTATTAAGAGCAAAAAAGAGAGACAAATCAATCTAAAAGATAAGATGAAGGTGGTCTTGCTAGGTCCTGGTCTTAGTAACACCAGTTGAAAAAAAAAAATCTGACCTCTGTCTTCAGCTTTCCCCAGAATGTGAATTTCATCCATTTTCTTGGTTTGTTCAGTCTGGAGGAGACTGGGAGACCTCATTGTGGTCTTCAACATCCTCATGAGGGGAAGCAAAGGGACAAGTGTCGATCTCTTCACTCTTGTGACCAGGGACAGGACTTGAGGAAAAATCATGAAGCTGAGTCAGGGGAGATTTAGGTTTGATATCAGGAAAAAGTTGTCCATCCAAAATTGGCTGAGCACTGAAACAGGCTTCCCAAGGAAGTGGTCACAGCACCAAGCCTGTCTGGTTTCAAGAAGTGTTTGAATAACACACTCAGGCGCAGGGTGTGATTCTTGGGGTCAGGGCCAGGAGTTGGACTCAATGATCCTGATGGGTCCCTTCCAACTCAGCATCTTCTGTGATTCTGTGATCTGAGAAATGCATGTGTGAAAAACAAAGCTCTAGGTCTCTTACCTGCTGGTACTAAGCTAAGGAAAATTGGACCAAGAAATTCAAAATTATATCACTGGGAAGTGACTGCATGCTTGCTGGTGAGGGAGAAAAAATTGCTCCTTTCCTTTGCAGAGCTGTCTCATTTGTGTGTCTGCCTTTGCTTAAAGGCTCTGGTGCATGGCTAAGCCAGATTTGCAATGGACAGCCAATGTGAACAGCAAAAGCCTCAGGGGATCAGCTTCACATCCCACACCAGTTAAACACTACAAGTCTCTGCTCCCTCCAGTGCTGTACAACCAGATCAATGAGGTTAGAAACTCCTTTTGAAGTCCCTGATTTTCTTGTGTAAATTGGGATATTGCTCCATCATTAGGAGCACAGCCTGAGGGAAGACTGTAACTGAAGTTGTAGCATATACAGCAACAGCTCAAGAATTTTTTGTTGTTGTTTCAAGATTTCTTTCATTCATTTCTTACCTTGACTGTACCTTCACTGTACTTTGGTTAAATAAACTAAGGATATGAGGCTCACCAGGGGTAAAAGCCTGAGCAGAAAAGGTGTCTTGCAGGCAGTGTAGGTGCAGCTATGTAAGTGAAGCAGGTGGGTATAAAGGAGGTGGTTGGAGCTTGTGTTCAAAAGGCCAGGGGAGCAGCCTGCCAAACTGAGACACAGGAATGTTCAAACAGATGTGAGAGAGGACATGGAACAGCGGTGGAGTTAACTGTTAGGGAATATGATGTACATTTTGTAGTACAGCAAAAGGAGATGGAAAAAAGCCATAGCATTTCAACAATTTAAAAGTGCCTAAGGGAAAAAGGAATGGAATATAATGGTCATACTCTGTTAATATAATGATAATTTAAAAAAAACCTTAACAGAAGTAAGAATGTTTTCTTTGCCCTGGAACCTTTGGGAAAGAGAAAAAGGCAATCATAGCTTTATTTGTTACTCCTGAAACAAGTTTTTCCATGTTTCAGGAAAAGGAGGAGCTAGTTTCTCTTTAGCAGTATGTGCTGTGCTTCCCCAGAGCAGGCATTCCCATGCTACTGTGGGGTGACCAGCAGTGCCAGGGCTGCCTGTTTTTCAGGATACTGGTGAATCACCCTAGAGCCAGAGGAACCAACAACAGGGCTGGCATGACACATAGCAGTGGCTTGTGTGTCAGGCTCTTATTTACTTCAATAAACTGAGGGCACACACTGGGTCTTACCAAAAGTTGGTGTGGTCAGCTGACAAAAATCAGCTGGGTATAGGAGGATTGCCAGATCATTTACAGACACCATAAATCTTCCAAAACCTTGGCACTGCTTTCCTCTCTACAATGAGCAGACAGGAGAATATAAAAACTAATTGTCCTCTTTTCCTGAAGGCTTCAGTAAAAATTAAAACTACTGGAATTGGAGATTAAGTTCAAACAATGCCACAGACTTTTTATAAAGAAATGTAAATCAGTACTATTCACCTGACATTCACAAAGCCACATCCACGTGCATCACCAGGGGTCTTACTCACTTGTGTTTGAGGAATCCAATTCTTATGGCATTCACAAATCCCCTCCAGATGTGAACACTTACCATAGAAACATGCAGTCAGCCTTGTTTCCAACATGGAAATGCAGAAGCCACATCATCAAAGTTTCCGTATTAAAACCTGGGGACCAGGAAAGACATATAGAGCAGTAGGAAATAGGTGTATTTGAATTTGTTTGCTGCATCCAAAGGGAACACACTTCCATTGTTAAAGGCATTAACTCGTGGGGTTAAATACAGTCTTGAGCACAGAGAACTAGAAATGGCAAAGGACACACCAGTACGTCAAAGAGAACAACTGAACAATCCAGAGGAAGAAGTACCCTAAGGACTTCAGACTGAAAACCAAGTCCAGGACAAGGTGGTAGTTTGGGTGATTCTTCTGCAGGACAGAACTTGAACTGATGCTGACCTACTCCACATTTAGTCTGTTTACCCCATGATTGCTACAGCTCTGACTGTTGTCAGCTGTCTTGGGAGATTTTGCAGTGTCTCCAGTTCACAGATGAGAGTGACAAATTTGATGGAGACATTACAAACTTGATTTGTATTTGAATTAGTTATATGACAGGAAACAATAAATCAATATATCTAATAAGTGTTTCAACATGCCATCAATATCCTACCAGTGTCTTGGTAGTTAGCTGAGGGGTCCTTTAAGAAAATCCAGCACTGTCATTTTGACTTTTGAGTTGTACCCCAGAGTGATCTGCTGCACAATGGGTTTTGCTGAGTTCCCCCATCCTGTCCTCACTTCAAGCTGGTGACCAGTTTTGACTCCCCTGGCAGGAGCTGGCCTTGATTGCTCTGGTCATCCTGTCCCTCTCTCATATTCCATGTTGCTGACAAAGATCCTCCCAGCACTAGTACATTTTAAAAAGCCACTATAAAGAATGAGAACTACAAATTCAGATTTGTTTTTTTACTGGGTAAAGGGTAGGAAAGAAGCTCAAACACTTCCTAGTAGCTTAGCTTGAGGGATGATCAAATCGGACACTGAAATTAAAATCAGAGTACTGACTTATGGAAACTCCTTTTTCTTGAGCCCACAGCATCCCAAACCTAGGAGCTCATGAGTGAGTGCCATGCTGTGAGTCATGAACTCAATTGGCTCATCTTTTGGTACAGTATAACCCCTGCTCTTTGCTCCCCATGGCCTCACTCTGCTGCCCAAACAGCAGAGGGGCATTCTGAGGAGTCGTGTGGATGTCCACATTGGCAGCTTTAAGGCAAGACAGGCATGGAGGAGGCATGGGCTCACAAAGCCAGGGCTGGGAACCTCAGCCCAGGCTGTAAAACTCAGCTTCTTGTCTGGGCTGATGTAATTTCATTTAGTTTCACTGCAGGAAGTGATTTAGTTTCAGTTCCAGTATAAAAAGAAGAAAGATGAGTTTACAGCTAAAATATTAAACAGGTCTGAGCAAAAACCTGAAGGAACTGGTTGATATAAGCAGGTAGACTGAAGAATCCAAAGACAGAAATATGGTAGAACAACTGAAATGTTAATTCAAAGGTAGAAAGCAAATCTATGATTTGCTTCCTAAGTAGGGAAGGATAACTGTTTATGGAAGTAACCAGCTGATTTCAATAACAGCTCAAGAAAGAATATGGAATTCATCCAGGATGGACAAGGAATAATGCAACAGAGAAACTGCTGTTTTGGCACTTAGCTATGTAGTGAAGTAAGAACTGCAGAACTTTGGGCCAATTTGCACATTTGCAAAGAGTTTAAAATCCAATAAGAAGCTCTCTAGTCAAATAAAGAATGGATTAAGATAAAAGTAGATTACTGGCAGGGATATGACTTTGGTCAACCCCAAAGATAGCTTAGATGCAAACCAATAAAAGTCAGGATGGTGATTGCTGTGAGTCCTTAAAAAAATTACCACATCTGAAGGAAAAGCACTGTTCTTAGAACTCCTGGTGCTTGTGTCAAGAGAGGTGAAAAAAAGAGACACAACCCAAAAGTTCATTAGCAAAGAATGTAAATATATAAATGGGGCAGGTACCACAAGTGGAAAATAGCAAGTGGTTCCTGTATTTGAGACATGAAAATAAATCACAGTTGAGCAAACTAAAGCCCTGTTATTGAAACTGAATTCACACAAAGGGATATGAGCATTAACTGGACATGAGGGGCTTAGCTTGAAGATTAAGAATATCCTAACCTGCAGAGCAGCAAGTTTTTAAATCTGCAACCCCCATTCCTCTATATGAAGGACCAATAACAGAAAAATAAGTTCTTTATGTAGATTTAACTGTAACAGAGATTATGTGATGTCATCACCTCTGTTACCTGCTGCCTTTCCATCCAGTGCTCTTTTTCAATGAGCAGAAAGTTTTCATTTCAGGAGTATCACAGGAAGTAGCTGAAGTATAGCCAAGCACCAGAATTTCCCCAGATCTGTAGTGTCAGAGAGGCGTCATCAGTTGGCAGTGATGAGGTTTTGTTTTGTCCTGACACACTTGCAGCTGTTCTTATCTAGATTGTCACAGTGTCTTCATAACAAGAATTGCTTCTCTTCTGCTATGGATTCGTTTTCTACAACACAGCTAGCTAGAGTATGACCACAAAGCCCGAAACAGGCACAAACTGAGAGTTCTGAAATATCTGACTGATATATTAATGACAAAGCAAAGGCTGCAGAACAAATGCACACCCTGAAACATTACCTCATCCCTTGACTGCTGAGAAACCCCAGATAAAGCAGCATTACAGTATCATCTGGAATTTTGAAGGGTAGAAGGAAGTTGAAATTCATGTTCTACTTAGCAGCAGAGAAGTGAGCTGTAAAGTCAGCCACCAAGCTTTAAGAAAGAGCCACAAGTAGCAAGCTTGCTTTCCAAAGAGAGGAAGCAGCGAGCTGCCAAGTGTAATAAAGGCACAAGAGATTTCTCCTTGGGAAGAAAGCCCATAAAACACACAGCTAAAGAGATGAGAGAGAGAAAGAGCTAAGTCTGCATGCAACAAGACTAAACAGCACAAAGAGGAACAAAGTCCTCCCTCTCTCAGGCACCTGGTAACGCTGCCATGCCCCACCGTAAGGAGAGAGCCAGCCTCCCAGCAGCCCTGCCCCTCTTTGTAGTGGCCAGAGGGATGGATTTACACCTGGAATACTCACTAATAGTCTTCATCTGAGAGAGGAAAAAAACCCCACCTGCTACCCACTCATACAAGTCCTTATCAAGGCAAAAAGGAGAGTAGGAACAGTGCTTTTGACTCTCGATTGCTCCAGGGCAGGAAGATGTGTGTGTTGACTTTACAATCAAAGCAATAACCCAGCCACTCAATATGTGGGACTTATGAATCAGCATGGAGGAAGAGTGATAAGTAGCTATCTCAATAAAAACTTCCTCCTTCACTGCATCCCTTCTTTACAGTTTTTAATGTGTCCATATGACTGACTCACTTTGTATTTCACTCTTTTGAACATTTGCAAGCAAATGACCTACCTAATGTGATGCTTAATGCAGAGGAAGACCGATGCTTTTGCTGTTGTATCAGTCAGTGGGATTTGTTTATTTCTAGAATGACTAAAAGTCTCATTGCTGTGACCAAAAATCCCAAGTAGTCCTGAGATTGTGGCTTATAGCAAGCAGATTATTGTTAGTGACAAGTACTGAAAGATTTTGCTTTAAATGTGGCCTTGCTGGGCAGAATTTTATGTTCTGATGTAAAGATTACATTTCTGTCTGAAGGAAATTTGCAGTCCTGCTGAAAATATTTGTCTTTCTTTTTTGTATCTCTGGCACATATGTTGAAAACTGTTTGTGGTTTGAAAACCAGGTATAGATGTGTTGTATGTGATCCAGCACATTTGATTTTGTGGCATTAACAGGATAGATTCTGGCTCAACTGTGGCTCCATTCCTTTTGTGTGTAAGTCATGTCCACTTACGTTTTCGGCACTTAGTTCTCAGCTGTCTCACAATAAAACCCTGCTTTCTTTGCACTTGAATTTGGTAATCTAGGTCTGCACTTTCCTTTTCTGAATCTTCATGTGATTAGCCCAGCAGATCCAAAGACCTGTCCTTCCTAATTACAGGGGCTCTTCCCTAAGATGAGGAGCAGAACATGCTAATGATCACCACCTTCCTTAAAGCCCAATGCTATTTATTTAGAACAAAATGCTATGGAAAAAAGCTACTTAATAAGCCAAGACATGACTCACACACCTGCTAAGTGTTGCCTGTCTTCCTTGTGGTGCCCTGGCAAATATGATAAGCAAGATCTGCCAGCTCTTTAATTCAGAGAGAGCATCTGTGTATCAGCTCATGCTGTCTCTGCTCCAGAAGACAAAAATGAGTGCCAGGATAACAGGCATGAGAACTTGTGAGAAGACATGCAGGTTCCACAGAAACACTTCTCATTCAGCCTGGAGCACAAATGCATAAGTACCATGTGCTGCCCAGCAGCCGGTCCACACCATCCTTCCCATCTTATGGGCCAGCAGTCAGTGCTGCAGCATCTCTGCAAAGCTGGGCGGACTCCTGCCTGTACCAGTAAGTGCCTGCCACCTTCTTGCATGTAGGAACAGCAAAAACTTGCATGGCTGGACAGCTGAGAATAGTCAAAGGTAATCAGTGGCTGTTGGATTTTCTGCATGGCAAGGATGGGCACTGTCCTCCTATGCTCAACCACATGCAAGAGCAAACCAGGAAAAGCATCTGCCTGGAGAGAACTGTCCTGCATGTTGGTTGTGACCCCTCCTGGGTTGTCCTGGTGCATTCCATGCTTCATAATCATTGTGGCAGTTTGCTGTAGAGGCATTTGAAAGCTTGGTGTTATCATTTCTATCATGGGGATATCATGACCTTCAAATACTTTAAAACTGTTGCCGATTGTGAAGGTAAATTATTTCAACATTAAACCCCTTTCATTTGAGCTTTTGGCAGATATGATGCTTGCAAGCCTACTGGAATGAGAGGTCAGAAAATGCAGCTGTAGCCCATATGGAAACAGAATTTTTCTAGTGAAATAAGATTAATCCTGTCTTGAAGAGAAAGCATGATTTTTGTGGTCTTGTTTCCAGACAGGCAGTGGCTCTGGTCACAGGCTCTTTGAAATCTGGTTTGGCTTTACAAAAACCCCGGCAATATGTGTATCTTACTGTGCCCTTTTTGGAGAGGGAAGATTCCCTTTCTGCCCCATATGGAACACTGGGGCCATGTAGCAGAGGGCTGTGCTGTCCTGCACTGAGATGGAAACAGAGGGCTTCTGAGAACATGTCAAGTCATAGGCTGTGGTGGTAGCAGAAGGTAGGTAGGAGGAGCACCAGTGTCCAGGCTTCAGGCACTTGACTGCCCGGCCAAGACTGCTGTTGTAGTGGCTGCAAAGAGAGAAGATGATCAACAGGGTGAGTCAGGCATTAGCATAAATTGAATTCCCTGTGGCTGCACTGTGTGTAAGGGGGTGTGTTTGGGGGAAGCTGACTCCAGGCACGTATAAGCCTGGGCTGATTCACCTGTGCTGCCTGTGACGCACGGCACTGTCAGTGCAGGGCCCTGGCCTGGGCTTGCAGTGACCGCTGGCGTTTCTGCCCCAGCTTTGTGTCACCTAGAGGTGCCTGTGCCTGCAGGCACTGCCTTCACCTCCCTCCTCCAGGCAGAAACCAGCAGTCCCTACCCAGAAGCTGTGTCCTAGCTTTTGTTCTCTGGGCCTAAGTCTTGGGTGCGCTTTGTGTGCAATGGTAGCTCTGTTCCTGTGCTGTGTCAGAATGCCTGAGCAAGCAGGGCTCCTGCAGCCTTGAGCAGCCTCTCCATGAACTAATAATAATTTCCCTGCTTCCAGTGCATGTGTGAGAAGGTTTCTGTCAGCTTTTTGATGGTATGCATAGCAAGGAAGGGTAACTCAACAGCTTTTCTAGGTGCAGAGATATTTCTGCTGCACCTTCTTACCATGTAAGCAGTGTGTGGGAAGTGTTGACAGTGCAGTTCTGTGGGCCGTGCTCCTAACTGGGAAGCAACAGGAAAGTGATTCATGAGACATTGCATCCTCCTCTGTGCAGGCAACATGGTGACTTGAAGAACAGGCACTGGACCACACAGAAGCTGTGGGACTGACAGCAAAATTATAGAGGCTGGCAGTGAACAAGCTCTTGGCTGGTTAAGGTCCCGACTGAAGTCATCTGAGCTCCTCTTAGGAGTTCCTCAGCTATCATTGACCTGTGGACACCAGCAAATAGAGCTCTGCTCCGTCCAGAGCTGTCATACTGTGCCAGGATGTTAATAGCCATGGCTGAAAACAGCATCCAGTGTTGACAGAACAAGGTATTTACTGTTAACCTGTCTGCTTGCGTAACTTCTCTGTGCATGTAACTGCAGTGTCAGCCTGAACTCTCTGCTGCACTCACCATGTCCTGGTGTTGCTGCTCTTTTGGCTAGCCCTGACCTATCAATGTTCCCTGTGAGATTGCTTTTCTCTGTCTGGTCTGATTCTGCTATTGATCCTGTTCTGGCATTAACCTTTTCCAGCTCTGCCAGGACACGTCTCCATTGCAGATTTTAATTCTTCTCATGGTCCTAACCTTGTCTTAGCTGAAACCCTGCTACATGCTGAGTTTTTTGGAATGGATGTGAGAGCCAAAGCTCAGGTGAGCCATGCTGAATTCGATAACTTCATCTCTTTATGTCAAGGCCAGAGATTTTCTTGTCATTCTTCCCATTCTAATGTCATCTTTCAGCATCTCTCCAGTAGTTTGAGGCGCTGTGGTATCTTTCCAATGCCAAATACCCTGCCTAGTTATATCTGTCTGTATGTGGAGGCAGTAACAATGCCACCAAAGCAGAATGTAAGTACAGATTATCTGCCTTGCTTGGAGTAAAGGATAGTGTAGGGTGCAGTAGTACACGCGCCTGGCTCTTAAAAACCAATGGGACTTTTTTGAGAGAAGGAAAAGAGGGAGAAGAGAGATTGATTTGGCTTATGTGCTTTTTTAGATGTAATCTACTTAAATTAATCCAATTTGAATTCTACCTGCATGCTGTAACAACCTTTGTAGCACTCATTCCTCCAAAGCCAAGTGTAACAACACAGAGTTACAGGTGACGTAGTTTGGTTGAATCTGGATCCAGAGTTTAGGAGGGCACTGTCCCTGTGTAAAGGCCAGTGTGAAATCTGGCAGTGAGCAGTACAGTACTGACCATGGGGAATCTGCTCCTGAGACAGACTAAACCTGCAGACACTCTGGTGGCATGGACACTGGACGCTGATGACTGGTGTGTCAGTGGAATATCAAAATCATAGCTTGAGTGGTTGGTATGTTACGTAATGATTGGACTGGAATGTTGTACACAAGCAGAGGCACCATCACCACCTGTTTACTAACTCTGATGTTACACATAGCCTGGGGTTACATCAGGCCAAAGAGCCTGGAAGAGACACATTCTCATGAGGTGGGAACACTGACTGGTGCCAGGACAGCAGCTGACAACGTCAGCTTTTTTTGAGAGGTATTTCCCTCCCCTCATTTCAAGGAAAAGCCTCTAAATGTTCCCCCGATGGTATCCTCAGTATAAGATTTCAAGACTCTCAGCTAACACGTATATTTAAAATCCTCAGAGATGTGTGAATCCCACCATGGTAGAGGTTGCACTGTTGAGGAAAGACTCTGTGTTTCTATCTGCGCGTTTTGGATAGAAACAGTTCCTTGAGTACATCTTCCCAGTAAAAGAATAAATAAGGTCTTACCCCAGAGCCTCCAGACCATTATAACAAAGCAGCTGTACAGCTGCTTGTGTTCCAGTGCTGATGAATGTGGCGTTGCTATCAGCAGTGCTGGGACATCTACAGCCTATTCTTAATTTTACACTTATATGTCATGTTGTGGAACACTGAGTGGTTTCCAATATATTTTAATCTGTTCCAATTGTGTTCCCATTTTAGGAAATCTGTGCCAGCTAAGATAGGAAGGCTGTTGCCTTATAGATTTTAAGATGTTAATGATTCTTCAGAACAATAGTTTTCTCTTTTTAAAATTGCCCTCGAATCTCAACCTCTTGAGAGCACTTGGCTACAATCTGCCAAGACCCCAGCTTAGCAGCAGGTAGCTTGCAGCATCAGCTGGAGCATCTGGGCACTGTCTGGAGGAGAGAAGCTTCATGCAAATGTGGATGCAGGGTGAAAGGACAGCAGGGTTCTCCTCTCTAAGATCTTGGTTGGCAGATGCTTATTCCTAAATTTTGTCACTGCAAGTTAATGGCAAACCCTTTAGCTTTATTCCCTGTCACACTGCCTCAAACTGTGGAGTGAGAAGTGACAATGCTGCCCTCTCATAGACTGACCATGTGCATGTATAATGTTATGATCAGACCTTGCTGTGTTTTAAAGCTTAGACAAGAAAACAAGGATCAGAGGTTCCTGACTGAAGAGTGACAAGAATGTGTTTCAATCACTTGATGCTGATCTTCATAATGTGCTTAAGATTAAACAGTTAGTGATTCCTTTGATTTGAGTCTGAGCCTATGCATAAGAGAAGTCTTCAGAGTCAGAGGTAGAAAGAATCCCTCTGAATCTGCCAGTGCCTTTTCTCTCTGTTCCTGAATATGGCTGTGGCATCACACTATGGCCCAAGGACTGTTTCATGCTGCATTCCAGCAGATGATGATTGAATCATCATCACCTATTCTTCTCCTATCCCCCACTCCATTACCATCTGTGCTGAAATGAGAGCCTCCAACAAGAAGTTTCCTCAAACCAAGGCTGTGGATGGCTGTTCTCTTCTTGATCCCAATGGTGGGAAAGGCCCAGCTTTTCTTGTTGCTTCTCCAGAGCTGCTGGCTGAGCTGTGTGTATATGTTTTATCCTAAATGAGCAAGACAAGCAAACTGCTCTTTAGCAGTTTAAGATGACATCTGATGGCACAGTAGCTTAGAGTGCACCTCGAAGCATCCCTCTTTTCCCTTAACTGCCCCATTAAACTGGCTTTACAATATTTTCCCTTCTCTGTATTGCAAAGCATCCCAGTAGAGCCTTAGGATTTCTTAGCCCTTGGATTTCCATGAGCAGACAAGGGGAAGGGGAGCAGACAACTATTGTGTGTCAAGGGCTTGGCTGTAAAAGAGCAGTTGTGGGTGGATATGTGGATAGGCAGGTTAAATGCAGCAGCAGAAAGGTTTTTGATTTCACTGCAAGGTGATGGAATGGCACCAAGCTGTGATGGTGTGGCTGAGGGGGGCTCCATTCATCTAACAAAGCCCATGCACTGCACTTTGCAGTCAGGCAATACTGCAATACAGGCAATGGGAGACCAAATCTAAGCCAAGAACCGTCTCTTATCTTCCTCCCTTCAAGCCAGGGCGACTTGATGTATGTTGAACATAAATATAGCTTTGCCATGTGTCTTCTTTCAAACATCAGCAGGTGTGAGGTCTTCTAGTTCTGTCATAACATTGGCTTATGCACCAAAGAAAAGTCAAAGCTAGACTCCATAGCATCCTCTGTGGAGCCTTGAGCCTGAGAGGTAACCCCTCTGACAAATTTCAGCCACTTTCCAGTAAGACAGCTAGCCTATTTTCTTTGAGCTATTTTTGGCAGTTCTTTAGAGATATATGTGGTAAAGGAAGATAATGAGAACAATTAAAGAGGAATTTCAAGTTGCTGTGCTGGAGGTAATGGAAAGAAGGTGTCATGATATGATTGTGCAATAGCCTCACGCTTTAGGTATTGCTCATGGCAGAACGTGCCGTGAGAGGACTCAGTACCTGGGTAGAAGGGTCATTGTGGCATGTCACAGCATCCATGATATATGTAGCAAGGATTGCATCATAGGGCTGAGCGTTACCATTAAAAAGCATCTGAAGAGCCTTTAAGTGGGAGAAATCCATGTGGGAAGGCCAGCTGGTTTTCACATGTGGCTTTTCCCAGAAGATATCAGATCAAAATAGTTACAAGTTGAATCCCCCAGGTTTTTTGTGTGTTTGTTGGGAACACAGTGCACTAGATTTGAAAACAATTGATTTCATGCTTTGTGACCAGGCTAGTCAAAAAACAACTACAAATGGGAAACTGAGAAACAAAGGCAGGGCAGGAAACAGAGCTGAGCTCTCAATATGACCCTTTAAATTGAAAAAGCTATAAAAGGCTGGCATAGATTTCATAAACAAGGGAGTTGGAGAACAACACAATTTGAAAGAATCATTGTCTTTTGTCAGATTTTTATTGACAAATCTTTTTCCTGGTATGTTGCCTCTGTATGAGAAATTAAAGCAACCGCCTAGATAGTGTTACTTGACAAATATTGTACCAATTGATCCTCTTAAGAAAACTCAGCAGGCAAATTCCTTTTCTCATGCAGGTTTTTTTCCTCTGATCTCTCCTTCTCCCCATTTCCAAGTGCCCTAAGCAGGACCACTCAAAATCACAGAATATTCTGGTTTGGAAGAAACCCACAGGACCATCCAAATTGAGCTCCAGGCTCTGCACAGGACAGCCTCAAGGATCACATCATGTGCCTCTTAGCAAGCTCTAATGTGCATATGGAGAGATGATGTGAAAGAAAGATGCTGATGACCATGACATCTGAAATTATTTTATGGCTTCAGTAGACCACAAGTATCATCAAAGTTTGCACTGACCTTGCTCTATTCAGTGCTCTAGCCTGAGCATACCTCTTGCCTGAGCAGGTTCAGATGTTGCATCAGTGCCCTCTAGTAGCACACAGAACTCATTTTACACCAGCTAATTGGGTCTAACTACCCTCTTGGCAGATGAGTGAGTACCAGCCCCACTTTACACCTAGGAAGAGTGGGAGGGGAAAGTGGCTTGACCCAAGTTTAATTGGCAACCAGTGTGAGCCATGTCAAATACCCTGTTTGCCTGCACCCGAGTCCTGTGCATGCAGAAATGGTCAAGTTCCTTGGAGAGGAGTGAAGCCTTAGGCTAGCATTCTGTGTTAGATATTATATTGCATGTTGGGTGCCAGGTAATGTGTTGAGAAATGCACGAGGGGAGTGGGCTCAGGGGCACAAGCTGCATTGCCAAGGAGAATAACAGTGCTAGGGACATGGTAGTCAGGCAACAGGCTCCACTGGCCTGCTGAGCACTGGCAGGAGGACAGCCTGGGTAGTCTGATGGCAAAAGGGATGCTGGCCTCATTTCAACTGCTCAGTCTGGCTGCATCAGTACCCTGGTTGGTATTTCCTTCCTTCTCCTCTCAAGAAAAGACAAGATAATTTGAAGCAAAAAGCCAAGACTTTGCCCTCTGGAGGGATTCCAGGGCTGCAGATGGACCAGGCTGTTCGCAGGGCTGCTGGAAAGCAATTACATTTGCAGTTCAGGGGAAGGGAAGAGGAGGAGGGAGAGTCACTGAACTGACAGCAGGGATAAGAAGGTAGCTCATTAGCACATCATCTTTTCTGCACCCTTCTGTGTGGGAGCAGATCTCCATATGATGACATTCAGAGTCTGGCAGGAATGTCATACTGGAACTAGTAGAAATTTTTCTGCAAGAAAGTGTGAGCAAGTAGGTTTAAAAGATCAAAAGTGAGTTCCTCTGTGGTCCAAAGAGCATAAAGGTTCATCTTTCAATGTTGTCCTCAAACTTCACCACCAACTGCTGATCTGGAATATGAAGACAAAGTGTGGAAGTAATGAGGTATTCATTAAAACGAAAAATACAAAAAACCCACAAACAAACCAACACCCCCCCCCATCCAAAACAAAAACCTCAAAACTCAGAAAAACCCCAAACCATCCAATCAAAACATCCTCTATGGTGGATGAGTTTTTAACTGAACATTAGAATTAGAAAGGTATTCATACACTGAGGAGGTACTTGAGCTTGGAGAATTCCAGCAGAAGCCATGCAAAAACCCTTCTCTTTATGGCATTCAAAACAATTTGGAGAGCAAGTCCTGTGTCAGTGACAGTGGCTGTTGGAAACCCCATAGTACAGTAATAAAGATATAATACACTTAATTATGACCTAAAGGGTGAAGTCCTTATGGACTCATTCAAAAGACTCATGTGACTGCTTAACAACACTCCCATCCCCTGAGCAGCAGTCTGCATGGTCCCAGAGGAAAAGATCAGAAAAAGCACACCTGTTCCCTAAAGGAAAGTTGAGAATGGGAAATGTGTGTGTCTCACATCAGGCAAGCAAGAAGTCTGTGCACTGAGTCCTCAGTGGCAGAGCTGCTCTCCTTTTTATGAAGATTTCTGTTTGCATGTGAATCTGTTGGTGTATGGATTTTGAGTCCTTCTGTTGAGACACGGATGAAGGGGCGAAGAATGAGCTCATGCCGAAAGCTTTTGAAGCCAGTGAAGCACCAGATAAAGACCAACCCTTCTTATTTTCTCTGAGTTCTTCCGTCCCCCCAGTATAAATCTCGCCCAGCTGAGCGGCGGAGCAGGGGCGCCCGCAGGACCCACAGCGCCGTGCTGCGGTAACGCCTCCCTGCGGGCCGGCAGCCGGCTCCAGCAGCGCGGGTTTGCGGCCGAAGGGAATCCAATCCCTTCAGCGGTGCCTCCTCAGGGATCTCTTCCTGTCAGTGCGGCAGCTCTGCCATTTGCCTGGGCACATCCCACACGGTGCTGAGTGACAGCAGGGCGGAGGGCAGGACTGCAGAGAGGTGTTTGTCAGTAATGGTAACTCTTGCCTCCACGGACAGAGGATCTCCAAGCACTGTACAAACCTGCTGTAACCTACAGTGGATAAACAACGCCTGATGGAGAACATGGTGGGTAGAGAAATGGGGGGTTCTGCAGAGGAAGCTGCAGAGACTGTACAGTAGGAGCTGGGAGAGAAGAGAGGGAATGGATCCCTAACCCTGAATCCCTCTCATCCTGATTTACACAAATGTAACTGCTGGAGTCAATGCAATTACATTAGTAGGAAAGCTGGATGAGAAATAAAAAAAAATTAGCTCCATCTCACTTCATCATGTTCTTTGTGCTACTAGCAAAGCTTTCTTCACACTCCAGAACCCACTCCATCCAGCTTACAGGAAATTACATGCTGCAACTGTTCAGCAATGCTTTTAATATAAAACTAAAGCAGAGGACAAAAGGAGAACACAAGATGTGTGCATAACATACTGCTCAGGTTAATGCAAAGGCATTTTGAACCTGATAATCATTCAGCTCTGCAAAATTACAGCTGAGGCTGCTCAGCACCCTGAAGGCAGACGTGTGCCTGCATGAAGAGGGTTCTCTTTCATTTGGCAATTGCAGCCCTGTGCATAAGCTGCCACAAGACACAGGGGGACAGCTGGACTAACAGTGTTAAAACAGAGTGGTGGTTGTGGAAGTGAACAGCTGCACCTAGAAAGATACAGAGAATGGCATCCACCCTCCTGGGAAATGGCTGATCTCTGCAGGTCTGGGGTGGTGTCTTCTCCTGAGGTATCTGTCCTGTGTGGCTGCCTAGCAGTGCCTTGAATGCCTCTGCCTCTCTAGAACGTGAGTCAAAAAGGCTGGAGAGCTGCAGTTAGTTACTCAGGAAGGAGGGAACAGGCTCTGGAGCAATGAAACAATAGTGAAAGAGAAGCAGAGGTAGACAGTGAGAAATCCTTTCCAAAGTAAATGTACACAGTACAGCTATTTGCTATGACATTTTGACACCTTTTCAGAGGATCTCAGAATGTTTGGGTTGGAAGGGACCCTAAAGACCTTCTAGTTCCAACTGTCCTGCTGTGGACAAGGACACTTTCCACTAGACCATGTTGCCCAAAGCCCCATCCAGTCTGGCCCAGAACACTTCCAGAGATGGGGCATCCATTTTTGGCCAGGCTCTGCAACTGCCTACTGCAGAGTTCACTCTCTTTCTCTGCCTATCACATCTCCCATCAGGTAATGTTAGCCAATTCTGGCGTAGGCTTACAAAAACCCCTTAAACTGTGCCAGCTGCCCTTTCACTGGTATAATTCCAGCATGTGTGTGAGCCTGAGAAAAGGAAAACTGAAGCTAACTAACCACACCCAAAACATCAGTACTGCAGAAGTGACTAACAGGGCTGGACCCTGAGGGGCTCTGGTGGCATCTTTAGCCACGCCTAAAGAAGCACATGGTCTGCCCTCCCACGTCCTCCAGGCTGCCGTGGGGGTCAGGCTTTCTGAGCCTGCAGTCCCACTGGTGGGAGCGCTGCCTCTCCTGCAAACCTCTGGAAGCCCCATACTCCATGGCCTCTCTCCCCGTTTGCCTTAGAGGCACCGATTAGACAGCTGTAAATGAGCCTCTGACAACAAACACAGTGCTGCATGTACAGGCTGCTGTTTGCACATCTGGAGCTGATTCCTGCCCCCCAAGGGCTCCAGTGCTGTGCCAAGGACCCTACTGCTGCTGAAGCAGGTGTTCAGGTGTCCCTAAAGCAAAGGGGCAACTGAGAAAAGCAGAAAGCTTTTCTGTACCTTCAAAGCACCAACTGCAGGGTGACTGTGCTGCAGCCTTCTGGATCAGCTATTTTCAGCCAGTTTTGTGATAATGGGCTGGGGAGAGATGCAATTTGCTGCCTCCCACACAGTGTTAGCTGTCTTTTGTCACTGAGGAGCTCCTCCTGGTGCTACAGCTGCAGCCCACCAATCCAGCTCATGGCCAGGGAGCACACCAGAGGAGGGTCCTGGGGTGGGAATCTGCTACTGAGGGGGAATGATGCTGTTTGTTTTCTACCTGTGCCTGCTGCTCTGCAGTAATGCTCCCCATTTAGAGCTGCAGACTGAAGCTGAAACATGAGCAGTGACTTTCAGAGAGATGCCCTTCCTGGCACTGCACACTGGCACTGAATTAATGTGAGCTACCTGATGTGCTGCATCATGTGCCACGCAGAAATCAGTCACTGAAGGCCAGGGTATAAAACTTCCCTGATCCCTGTGGGCTTTTGAAAGGGTAGAGTTTGGTTTGTCTCCTATAGCTTAGAGAGGCTGTTAACATTGAGTCTCATTGAAAATGCCTGAGTTGCCTCCCTTGGCTGCTGGGGAAGGTTCTGATACCTTGTCTGTACTGTAATGTGGGTTTGGGTGCCACACACCCTCCTCCCGTGACTCCAGCCTGACCCTTGGAGGCAGTGTTTTGCAGTGCCTCAGTGCACTTTCCATGGTCACTTGTGACCTTGCAACTGGGGTTCCAGACCTGTGCAAAACCTTTTAACTATGTTAAAAACCCCTTTTTTGCCAGACATCTGCAAACTGTGACCATTGATGATGCACCTGTACTCCCAATATTAGTAAGGGATCCCTGCAGCCACAAATCATGCAATATTTACCCTCTGTTAGCCCCACTTTTCTATTCCCCACTAACCACAGTGCACGGGGACAGAGCTTGGTGTGCCTTCAGTTCCAAGAGACGCACAGTTCTGCTCAGTTAAGGTGCCTTGTGACAGGGAGATGTAGTCTGCCGCCTACCCTGCGCAGCTGCGGGCTCAGGCTGTGCCGACTCTACAGACCCCTGCTGGCGGCACAGGGCTGCTCAGGGACGCTGTACCGCCGGCTCCCGGGGGCTGCAGGGCCTGTCAGCTGCTGCAAACACACACTCCCTTTTCCTGCTGCTCTCCCCACTCTCTGGTACAGATGAACATGCTCAGCTTTCCCAAGACAAAATCTGAGCGCAGCAGCTTGCGCATGGTGAAGAGCTCCTTCCATACCAGCACTCTCTCCACTCTCAGATGCTGCCAGTCTGGATTCACCTGGCAGGATCCACTCCTCTCCATCCTGTTTCCAGCACTGTGCCCCACAGTTACTCATTGTGGGAGAGCCTATTCTAAATATAATGTACAAAAAGTGCCCTGCTACCACTGCCTGCTCAGATTTCTCATAAGAGCCCTCAAATGGAATGATCATAAAGCTTTATACTGCAAGAGGACCACTCATGGTACACTCTTATTGCCAGGTGCTTTAGTAAGAAAACACCTGGTACAAACACGCATATTGTGTTCATTCAGGGTCAGCTAGGGAAATCAGCTTTTGTTTTTATGTTATAGATCAGTTATTGCCACTTCCATGTCTTCACTCTTCAGTTTAGAATTCCCAGGATCTTTCCAGTGTTGCATCTGTGAAGCACCTAAATATTATGAAAGCTGCAGCAAAGGACAAGTCCTTCCTCAAATACTTTACAGTTTAAACAGACTGAAGAGGCAAAAGATGAAGGAACAAGAATGTTGCTTGTTGTTGTTTTTTAATTTTTACCTACTGTAGGTGAGATGTATGGAAATAAAAGGCTGAAGCACAGCTTAAAAGTAGCATACCCCTGGTGTTTGTCTGCAAAGCTATTTTTTTTTCTTCATATCTGAAAGGTGGTAACACAACACAGTAAGTAACTGGCAATATATATTAGCTGGGTTGGGCCCTGAGCTGGATACTGGAAGGGTAGGGACACCTACTAAGGCCCCTTACTGGGGGAAGGGACACCTTCTAAGGGCCATGAGTTCCTTGGGTGCTTAAACAAGGGTGTAAAGAGTAGCAGGAGGAAGGTTTTCTTCCCACCTGAGCGAGGGACATCACCTCAGCTTTAGAGGCTGTGACATTCAAGGAGAGACTGACTGAAAGGGCTCAGTTGCCTCAGACACCAAAACAAGACTAGGAACATCACTTTATTACAAGTAATGAGAAAATACATTAATAAGTCCTAAGTAGAGTGGAGAAAGGGGTAACCAGAAGTGTCTGGATGTTGAAAGCAAGTTCAGTGATGAAAGTGGAAGCACTTCTACCACAGAGGTGATGAGGCACTGGGACTCGGTGCTGGAGACCACATTAATCCCTTGTAGTCTGATGCCTTCATGTGATTTCCCACAGTTTGCTTTAGGCAGTTCAGTGCCAGGTGTCTGAGCAAGCACAAAGTCCAGTGGCAGAGAGGGTGTCTGTAGAGATGGGCCCCACGAATCCCTCATGTCACCACCTTCTCCGTCCAGCTGACTCAGGCTCTGCAGGGTACCTTGCTGCCTCCTGCTGGCTTGCAGTAAAACCCTGGGAATTATCTGCACGTCGTTTTGTTCGCTCCCACTTTATGGAATGTGTGAGAGCCACTTCTTTAGCTTGGGACTGGGCCCCCACGTGGGCAGGGAAAGGGAAGGTGACGGTGTGGGGAAAGGGCTGTACTTCACATGGCAGCCAGGAGCACCCTCTGCCACCGGGACAGTGCCCATGATGGTGATCCCGTATCAGTCGAAATGGGGGTGCTGGGAGGCTGGTTCAGGCCTGGGAAAAGCAGTTGGCACGGTCATAATCAGGCAGGAAACGGGAAATGGTGTTGTGAGGTAACAAACAGGAAGCGCTGATGGCGGCCCAGCGCGGCCCAGCGAGGCTGCAGCTGAAGGAAAGCTGTGAGGGAGCTGGCGGGGCAGCTCTGCTCTGCACGGCCCTGCCGCAGCCTCGCTGTGCCCAGGGGCTGTTTATCCTTAGCAGCTACTTGAACAATAACACCCAACCGGTGAAGGCTTGTTTACACTTCCGTGGCCATGAGGAGGCTGAAGGATACGAGCAAGCCCTTCCAACATCCTTCTAAGCCGCATTAGCAGTAACAATTCCACCTCACATGTCAGGAGAGAAAAATGGCCAGCCATGGAAATGGTCTCCACCTCCTCAAGGACATGTAGGGGTTAAGTGTCTGCATCCCACTCCCTTCACTGCCTGCTCCTCAAATTCATGCTTTAGGATGCCTCTGGCACAGCTCAAACCATCTTAAAAGCAGTTGTCAGGTTTCAGTTAATGACATTGACCCTTCCAAGCATCATCCTTCCCCCATCCTTCCCATCCTTATTTCAGTTGCCTCTCCAGGAGCAAACACGGGAAGGATCTACCTTTCTCCATGAACCCTAGATAAGTCACACGGTTGGCTTAAATGAGACGCTTCACGCTTGGATGGCTGCAGTGAGGTGAGATGAATCTGCATCTGCTGGAGATGACTGAGAGCAGATTGTGCAGCAACTGCCAAAAAGGCAAGGAAATTCTTCCTCCTCATGTTTGAAAAATGTGCATCTGATGCAAGGGTTCCTTAACATTACGGTCTCCATGAAAAAGGAGATTTTTGGAATTACAAGCACACAGGTATTTCTACCTCTTCCTAGGATGTAAGTGAGCTCTACCTCCAGAAATCTGGACAGGCATTGTGAATTGTAGCTAGAGTTTTGAAGAACTTCAAAAACCTCCTCCTAAGCGACTTATGACAAACATAAATACCATTAAAAGCATGAAAATCAGTGTAATCTTCATGAAAGGAGAGGGTTGGGAGGAAGAAAAGAGCCTCTGTATTATAAGGAGACATGAGAGAATGGGAAACTAGTGATGAAGAAACTAACACCAGGATCTGGTGGGCTGAATTGAAAGAGGGGATTAGAACAGGGCCATTTCTTTTTTAATTACCATGCTTTTATCTCATGTGGGTTTTTACCCCCCAGATACATGTTGTTCAAATTGTCTTTTGTTTCTTTGTTGACAATCTTCCAGAGAACAAATGAGTTTGTGATCAAGAGCAAAATGCTTTGGCAACGCTTCGGCATTTTCTGCCAAAGCAGAAAATGTAAGGCAAATATTAAACAGTGTTAATAGAGAAATACTTTCAAATGCACAGTGATTCATATCTGCACCAGGAATTTCAGCCCTCCTCACAAACCTCTGTGGGAGCCATGTGCCCCAGTACAGGGATCATCAGAGCTCTTGCATGATGCCAGGAATGGCCAAATCCTGTTCTGACTGGTGAAGGCCTCTCCAGCTATAAACCTAACTCTCAGTACATCTGTTTGGATGTTAAATACAACTTAGTTCAATTTCATTTATAAAAACACACATGGTGTCTCTGTGACCTTCTAGGCAGTTAGTTAAAAATATAATCACCAAAACCAATGTGAAGCCAGCAACAATTCAACAAATAAGCTATAAAGTACAGCTAAAAGATGTCATCACCAAACAGCCTCTCCTCAAACTGCATGATTAAATAGTCTGTATTTAATAAATAAATAATAATATTTATTTATTATTTATATATATAAATATACATATATATTATATATAAAACATAATAAATAAACTGATTATGACCTCAAACTCCATTAAACATGTATTTGCAAAACATGATTATAAGCAAGGTGCTCCTTTTCAACCTTGGGACTCTCCCTGGGGATGACCTGATCTTCATGCTGAGCAGCTGGCAGGGTGGGTTGGCTGCAGGGAAAGATGGAGTCAGAGCACTGTCTCCAACTTGGCTGGCGAGAGGAAAGACAGCATGCTTGCAGAGGAAATGAAGAAGGATTAAGCCCTTCCATGGTGGTTATGTACTATGCTGCTATCTCTGTGGGAGGCAAGTCCATCACTGTGGTACAGTCTGTGGAAGAATAAAGGTAGTCATGGGATCATCTGTGTTATGCAGGTCACACAACAGCCAGGGCTGTGTTATCCCCAGGTGTAGATCCCTTTGTGTGCCTCAGCTGTAGGTGTCCCCTCTTACATAACAGCCAGAAGTGACCCAGTCAGAGGGGAGGATGGTGAAATGGAGACTTGGGCAGCAGGAGTTATTTTCCAGTCCATTCCATGCCCTGCACTTTTAAACTTGACCTACTCTTCCTGTCCAGGGGAGCACTCCTGCAGTGTGGGGAGCTGCACAGAGCCTGTCACCAACTTCCTCAGGGACATGTGTGGAGTTCTGCTGGCAGGCAGTGAAGACCTCTGGGTGGCAGTGACTGCTGGGTGAGCTGTGTAAGCAGATCAGTGGTGTGTCTCTTTCCCTTTGCGTCTCCTGAGGGGTAAAAAGCTCATCGGAGGAGACAGCTGGTGTATCTGAGAATGGAGCACCTCTGGGAAGCTGATGGTCTGTCATCAAGACCTAAAAGGGAGGAAACAAGGGTACATTCCACAAAGTACAAAGGTCCTTGGAATCAAATGCTGTGAGTGGAACAATTGCATTGGCATGTGAAATTATTGCTGTGTACACAATCAATTACCTGATGGACCAGAGAGTTCCATCCTAACCCTGCAGCATGATAGACCACTGTGCTGCAGAAATATGGCCCAGAACTGTACAGGGGAAGAGGAGCAAGGATGGCAGTGTAATGCCCAGCAGAGGCAGCAGAAAGTGTAGCTTTATGGTGCTGGGTCACACTGTTTCCCAGAGAAGGTCTGAGAGCAGAATAGGATGGTTTAGAGCAGATGGAATAGTGATCAAGGAGAAATCTCACTGCTTTGGGTGTCACTGGCCAACCTGCCTGCTCTGGGAGCTGAGCTGGCAAAACTTAAAAAGAGAGAGCAGGACTTAGGGAGGGAGAGGCACAATGAGGTCAGGGAATCTTGATGGAGATGGTGTAAAATTGAAGTTGTGAAAACAGTGAAGTGTGGCAGAGGGCCACTGAGTGATGTCAATTCTCTACAACTGGAGTTTGGATTGAGAGCAAAATGTGCTGGGAGTGTCCTATTTGCTGCGTAAAAGCAATGTGTATTTATGGGTCAGATATGGGAGATAAGGGAATGACAGGCAAACACAGATATGTAACTGTCACTTAGGCTGCTGGGGTGAGGGTTTGCTAGTGACCTACCGGGCCTTACTCATTTTAGCATAAATTAATGAAAGGAAAGACTGAGGAGCAATGCAAATACCTGATGTGCATTTTTACAGAGATGGTTTCATCTGTTGGACTAGGTGGCTGCAATTGCACAGTAACTAACTTCCTCTTCCTCAGCAGCTCTTTCAAGGCTGAAAGCTGCTGCTGGTCAAGCGCATGTCCTGTATCGACCCCAAGTTCCACAAACAGCCCTCACCTGCACTAACCTAAGTAAACTCTGTGCCCTGGGCTGTGTCCTGCTGCATGTTGTCTCAGCACCAGTGGGTGCTATAGCTACGGGTATATCCCGGCGCCTGTCTCCCTTCAGCAGCGGAGTTGTCAAAGAGGAAAGTGATGTAGGGCTGGAGCCGAACATGAAACAACTCAGGGGAAGCACTGCCCGAGGCAGTTCCCCTCTCACTCATTCCAGCATTCCAGCTCCAAAATTACTTAGACTGGAGTGCTCTGCATGGCTGTGGAAAAGTTTTTAACAGGTGCAAATACAAGGAAACATGCAAGAGTTTCTCAGAAGTAGAGTTCATCCTTAAAATTGTTTTGTCACATGGCTTTCAAGTGAATTTGTGAATTCTTTTAAAACTGAATGCCAAGTTTAGCTGCAGTCCTTGAGCCAAATCCGTAATCTTACCATAATTATTGCAAATTATGTTGAAAGCAATAAATTGTACAGTTTGGTCTGAGAAGTCTATAAGCTTGTCAAGAGTTTGTTAAGAGAAAAGGCACTGCTTATCACAATATTTGGTCCTGACATCATCTGTGGTCCTCAAGAGGAATCTCTGAAACTGAGGTTGAGGAGTTTTTACAGCCAGAAGGATCTCATGTCCTCCTGGTGAATTCCCACCCTGTGGCTCAGAGATGTACTCACCTGGGGGAGGGCAGGCTGCTGAGCAGTCAGAGCGCAGTGGCCCTCGGTGAGGAAGGTTTTGGCCGAAGGTGTGGGTTAAATCCAGGTCATATTATGTGTCCAGCTAACTTTCTTGTGGTTTCTTTGGCAAGGACTTAGGGATGTGCACACGTGCAGGGATGCACATATGCTCTCCATGTCCCCCTGTGTGGAAGCAGGCACTGCTCCTGTTTTTCCTGTGTAGGATCTGTGATCTATTCCGGTAGCTGCATCGTGCAGTGCTGCCTCCAGTAAATATTCACAGATTTCCTTGTAAGATTATGCTTTTTTTTTCCCCCCTCTCTCCTGTGTGGATACACAAAGGCATGTGTTGTACCTGCTTTACCCCATGGGATCTACATAATCAGGTCCACAGGTTTTAATGGATTTCAACTCCTTTCTGTCTAGGGGTACAGTTTCCTGTCATGTTTTGAGCAGGAAGAGCTGAGTCTTTTTTGGTCTTAACATTCCTGCTTGCCTAGGCATTGGGAAGAGTCCTCTGTCTATTTTCCTGTTTGATTTTTGTGTGTGTTTTGTTTTAAGCAGGACAGAGTGCATGTGTGTATGTAATCCATGTGCTCAATTAAGAGAGGCATCTGTTGGGTTTATTTCACATTGCCGAGGAAGGACTGCAAGCAGGGAGCATCTGCTCAGCTTTTTGTCAATGGCTTGTTTTTCATAATTTGCTCTACAGGGTGAATGTTTGGGGAGGGGGAGGTGGCTTTTCATTTCTGAGTTTCGTCTTAAATTTATTTTTATGGTAGCTGAGGAAATTGGCTGGGATCTGAAAGTTAATTTTGCTGTGAAAAGGTCTGAAGAGGGAGAAACAAAACCATCCAAAGTAAACAGTATTTATGTAACCCTAATAATATACTCAGAAGGACCCTTATGAATCGTTATTTGCAGTATTTTAATGACTTCTCTTTAATGAAGTAAAAAGAATTTGTTATGGTGCTTTTTAAATATCACTGGGGTTTAAATTTTTCACTTTTTGAAAAAAATAGCAAATTTTGCTTAGATTTTATTTTGGGGAAAGATAGGAAAGGCATCCAATATTCAGATGATTTTTTGGCACTTTGTCAACAACAACAAAACCCCCTGATTTTAAAATAGAGCAGCAGTAGTTTCCTGTTCTTATAGTTTTGCTTTTGTGCACTCAGATCTTGGCTGTATTGCACCTAGCTGATTTAGTGAGAGACTTAATTGCCTGTAAATGTATGTGCTTCAAAGGCTACTAAACCTGCTGGGAGTGTTTATACAAGTGTGCTTTTTACCTTTTTTTTTTTTTTTTTTTTTTTTTTTTTGTGGAAATGTCCTCCAAAAGGGCTGTAGAGGATAATGACTTTGTGATGCCCCGGGAGGACACAGCTGCTGGTGTAGTGTAGGGAACTCGGGAGGAGAAAGCCTGAAACTCCCCCTAATCCCACAAGTGAAGGACAAATCTTACCCCTTGCAATCAAACAAACAAGGATACAATCTTACATGTGTAGGTGTAGATGCTGTGCCAGAGTAACCTGAAGAGAAGATTTGGATCTTATTAAAAGTGTTTAAAGAAATAGGATTAAAAAAGATGATAGTAGTGTTTTGTTCTGTAAGTGAACCCCAAGACAATGCATTTATTAAGCCACTTTGAAAATGTATTAAATCTGCATCTTTTGTGTCATGACTTGTCAGGGGAGAGGAAAAGTGAAAAGTTTAATAAAAATAACTTTCCTGACAGTTCAGTCCCACACATAGCCGGAGAATGTGTATATATATATATATATATATATATATATATATATACATGTGTGTATATATGTAATTTGAATATTATCTATCACAATATAAATATGTATAACATCTCAAAATGTCAGATGAATGCCACTCAGCTGAACAACTTTGTTGACATGTGTTAACACTATAACTGTTTTTTATAAAAAGCAGCTGACATCATTTGGTGTGCACAATGAAAATGCAGGGACCAGGCAGGTGAGGTTACTTCTGGGGGGCTTCGCTAACTTTGGCTGTCACAGAATAATATGTGTAAAAGGACAAACCACAACAAACTTTGTAGTAGCAGGAAAGTATTTTCATTGCTCGAAAAAAAAATAAAATTCAAACTTTGTCATCACATTAAAAACATTACATGAGAAGTAATAAACATATTTACACTTCTGTTTTGATTATAAATATACATTATATACAAAATAATGTTATAAAACGTAGAAAGTTCAGTGCTTCTGATTTTTTTTAAATTACTGAAATACTAGTCTTCAAAATAAACTACAAACAGACAAACTAAAACCCATATTATTGATTTCTGAAGGTCATCTTCAAAATGGTCCTACGTGGTCAGAGCAGAAGGTCAGTAGTGGACAATATGAAGGAGTCTTGTCTGCACAGTTCAAGGGAGTAGATGGGCTAGTCCAACAGGCTTTACAAGGGCAGGAATATCACTGTCAGAGAGATAGCACAGTCTGTGTTTCCTCCAAGAGATCTTGTTTCTCCCTCCTCATTCTGCCCCATGCCCTGGTCTCATTCATGAGTGTCACGGCACTTTCCACTGGGGTGTCCGGTATTATTGCTGTAAATATGTATAGAAGAAAGAAGCTTCTGCCTGCCTCTGGCTGCCAGGGACGGACACAGCACATTTTCCATGTAGCACTGGGTGGGTATGAAAGAAACAGGACGAGCCTAAAACCTTCTAACTTCAATCTCCACCTGTCTTGGCAGAGGGCATCTCAGCGAGTGCTTCACTACTGGGCATTTAGAACCGGGATGAAGAACAAGAGTTGGAGTTTTGCAACCAGATGGAGAAATGGTGGGGGGAGTAAGTGGGTTGTGTCACACTGCTGCTGCTTCTTCAGAAAGTAACAGCTGCAATTTTGAGACTATTTGCAGTAAAAGGTGGCACCTAATTCAGAAACACTACATAAACCCCTGAATTTGTGTCAAAATAAGGCAGGGGGAAGAGAATGAGGAAGGAGAAGAAAAGAAGTAATGTCTATTCACAATCACTGGTAGTGCAAAGGGCATGAAAACAGCTGAGACAGCTCAGCACATAAAGGTTCTAGGAGCTGATTGATTTTAAACGCATTTGTAAGGCCTTATACAGAGCTGGGATCGCCTCCTCCCTACCAATGGGGACGAGGCAGTACACATTCCTTATCATAACTTCCCCAAAAATCACGTTCCACACCGTGGCTTGAGTCAATCAGTTCTCCAAAGCATCACCAAATGAGTTGACATGTAAATTCGGTTTTCTTCTTTCCTCCTCCTCTCACCCCTTACACAGTGTCCAGTACATGCAGCAGGAGAGAGGAGATGCAAATGGATGTTTAGCAGGAAGTATCAACTACCTCTGCCCAGTACTGTTCAGGTAACTGCAAAAACAGCAGTCAAGTTTCTGTTTGGGCTTGTTAGATTCTCTTGACACATTATAGGCACTTTTAAACCCAGAAAAAATTGAGACCTCATTTATACTGTATCCATTATCTGCATAGCAACCGTGTCTTGCTTCGCACCTTCCATGGCAACATCTGTGACAGTTATGTGCCTCCTTATCTACCAGCACCTCCCATAACCAGAGTTCTGGAAAGCCAGGGGTCTGTCCATGAGGAACTGGCCTCAGCATCTTTTAAAACACCAACATTTTTAACCTCTCTCTTCCCTCTGCCTCCCCTTTTCAATAGCAAATGAGATTTCTGGTATCAAACTTCAAACAAGGGCAGTAAGAACAAAAAGGTGTATTGCATCTTTCAGTAAATTCACAGTCTGTCCAGTTCACTCAGTTCCATCCTCCGCCTGAGAGCAGCAAGTTGCATGTAATTAAAAACAGTCCAATCCAGTTCTGAATTGTAAACAATGCAGCAGGAACGTCCATCTACTGGCATCATCAAATCTGAGGTGCAAATGGTCTGATCTTCAGTCTTATACCTGTCAGGATATAAAACAACACCAGGAATGAGAAGGAATCACAGCATACAGAGTAGTGCAGAACTAACAAACTGTAATTCAGCTATGTCAAACCAAAGCGATTTAAGCCAAACATTACTGCAGTTTAACTCTCAGTGTTTAATGTTTTCAGTTGGGTCCAGAGGCAAAGAATCACCAGCAAAAATAAAATAGTCATCTGTGGCCTCTCTATCTGGCCTCAGGGGCAGAATGCTTACAAACCTGGGTGCTTAACATTAGGGATCTGCAAAAAATGTACACGGTATAGTTAAATAGCTTGTGTTTAGAAGCATTAAGCCTGAATGGTGTGCAGAGAGATTCTAGGGGTTGTCATTCTGAAAACAGAATAATTTCTGGAGACGCCTGATGTAAATTTGGGAGCTTAGCTTTGCTCAGCAAGATCTTTGAAGATACAGTATTTAGGTCACTTAACAGGAATGAAGCGTCTAGCTGTCATTTGTATCTCTGAATCCTTTCACTTAGTCTTAAACTTTTAATATTGTTGGTTGACTTGTGTTCCAGCTTGCTTTCAAGGGGAAATCTGATATCCACCTTGGAAAGAGAGACTGAATCCTGCAGATCTGACTTCACAGATCACTGCTGCATGGCACAGCAAGCTTCTCTTTCCTATAGGCTGCAATTAGTCCTAAAGATGACTACACCGAAGAAGGCAGGTATTGGAAGTTAAACTGCCTTTAACTTCCACTGAGACTTTTTCCAAAAGGCTGGTAGTTCTTCAGGAACCATTTGGTTCCTCAATATCTGTTTTTCTAAGTCTTTAAAGTTCAGTGTTAGGCCTTTCCTTTTTTTGTGTATCCAACTTTTCAATATAACATAAAAATTGAAATTTTTTATCAGTAACAGCAATAACTTCTGCTACAGGGTACTGAGCTGGAGCTTACATGCTAAGAGGTTGAAATTACCTTATAACAGACTTCCTAAATGGTTGTTATGCCTATCCACTAACACATCCTGCTACCTTCCATCTTCAGCTAGAAATCTATAGCTTTGCCTGTTTCCACAGAACAAAGATTATCCATTGTAGTCACAGGAAAAAACATGGCTTTACATCAATGGGCCTAAGAACGATTATTATTTCCATTTTTTTCTGACCACTTATTTAAGAGGAAATAATCCTACAATGTGCTGAATTTTTATGGGCTGATGTTCTGTGTTTTCATCTACCACTGACTTATTTATGCCCAAAACCTCTGGTTTAATAAAGGCGGAGCAGCTTATTTTTTTATTTTCCCCACTGCATATTCTGTGTGGGCCACAGAAGAGGAGAGGAAAACGCTGGAAGCATCATGATCCCTGGAAATAAAGGAACCTTCTCAGATACAATACTAAAGGATAATTTACCCTTTTACCTTGTGAATTTATGCCTGTCCACCTCTGTACTTACTTACCTCTGTGGCTATGATGCACTCATTCCGTTCTTCTGTTATCACAAAGACGGACTGGTACATTGAATCCCTCGGAGAGCATATCGCTGATATTCTGCATTCTGGCTTTTCACTAAGGCAGGGCAGAGAAAAAAAGAACATTAGCTGATTACTGACAAGCCTGACTCTCAAAATCTACCATGAATATGGAGTGGTGGAACGAGATAGCCATGAAGGTGTGGAAGGGAAGTGCATGGGATCAAGTTTCACACGTTCTGTGTCTGTCAGGATATTATGCTAGAGAAGTGGAAATAAGGAACAGCGAGAGTCTTCCTATGCTCCTGCCATGTCCAACCTAACAGCAGGTTCCTCAGAGCCCTTGGTCTAACAACCACATGCAGATCTCAGTCAAGACCTTCAGCACATGAATCAGAAGACTGATAAGCCACTGAACACCCGCCCTTTTCTCCTTTGGAAAAAGAGTAGTTGTTTTCACTCTATCATTCTTCTCAGTAAGCAGACCATCTTGCCTTCTCACAAAGTGAAATACTTATTTTTAATCACTGTATGCCTTTACTGTTGTTCTTCCAAGATCTACTGAAGAAGGAAAGATACTTCTTACTTTCACCACTGGTCTAGCCACTCTGGGTTCCTTCACAGTATCCATACCAGCAGCACCCTGCACAAACACTCTAATTAATTGACTTAGCTAAGGATAGCACTTGGTTGTGACACACATACTCCAGTATGAAGATTCCTGGCTTTGATCTGGTTTGTTTTGCATATTATCTGCTTGAGGTTTCTTTTTCCCTCATATGCTCATCTGCTTCTAGACTGATATGAAGATGAGTGGCTGTAAGAAAGACTATAATGGAAATTACATTCTCACCTGTGTAGTCGGAGGGGAGACTTCTCTCCTAAACACTTTTCACTTTTGTAATATTTATCTTCTGGTGTCCCTCTACTTGTCAGGTCTTTTACCAGATTGTAGTCCAGTTTATGGTTCTTGGGTTTGTAGTTTGATTTCTCCAGCCCACAGTCCACTTCAAGGTCTTTATTTTTATTGGTGTTTTTCAGCTGGGAAGCTGGAATGAGATTGTCCTTCTGGAAGTCAGACAGGTTGTTCATTGTCTCCAACTCCTGCTCTGGGTGCATCCTCATCTGCCTGATGACCATTGCTATCATGCAGAACAGTATGAGCAAAGCCACCAGCCCCACCCCCATGGATATAGCAATCCAGGGGACCGGTTTAGGAGGAAGTGTAACGGGCACTGAATAAACTGGCAATTCACAGCGGTTGCCCATGAAGCCAGAAGGACAGTAGCAAACAAAGTTGGCACTATAAAGTCCACTGTAGCATGTGCCTCCATTCTCACATGGCCCAGAAGCACATTCATCTCTGGTTTTGATGTCGCAGTTCCTGCCACTGTAGCCTGGCATGCATGTGCAGGTGTAATCGTTGATTAGATCATGACAAGTTCCCCCATTGGAACACGGGTTTCTGGCACAATCATTGATGTTTATCTCACATTTCTGACCAGAGAAACCAGCCCGACAGCGGCACACACGAATCTGCCCAAGGTAAAAGCAACTACCATCTGAGGGGAAAAAAATGAAATAAAAATTAGTTTGCAATGCACTTCATGCAAAAATCTAAACCTTTCTCTGGTCAGCATGTTATACTACCTCAAGAAGAGAGAGGTTATTTTACAAAACGGCCGCACATCTAGAAGTTCATTCTACTTTACCTAATTGTATCACCGTGCCTTAAAATTATGCCCCTTCTAAATATGTAATAGAGTTAATTTAATTTAACTTCCATCTTCCTCACCATATGATAAATCTCATGTATTGTTTTGTTGCATAGAAAATGCCAGTGCAAGTCCCGCCCCAGCAAGAGACTAAAATTAGGGTGGATGTGGAATACAGCAGGGGAGAGGGACTAATGTTCTAGAGGAAGAGTAGAGGTCAGATTGGATTTCTATCACTTCTGCACTGAAAAGCACAAATAAGTCAGGGTCATGAGATTTTTTGATAAAAAGACTCACCATTTGCACAGGGGTTGCTTGTGCACCTGTCTACTTTTTTTTCACAGTTAGACCCCGTGAAGCCAAAAGGGCAAACGCAAGTGTAGCTGGCCCCTTGATCCTTTTCCAAGCACGTGCCACCGTTGAAGCACGGAGAATCTATACATGTCAGAGCGCTGTGCTCACAGTGAGTGCCATAGTAGCCAGGGGGGCACAGGCAGTGATAACCGTTCTCCATATCCTGCAAAACACAACATTAGGCCACTGTTATTTAATGGAAAGAAATGATAGCTCTCTGCATGCTTAGTTCTGGTCAGCAGCAAGCGCTGTTCAGTCTCCTCTCATCCACAGCCTGATGTGGCAAAAGTGACATCAGGAGAGTGAGCAACTGCAGGTTGGACTGTGAGGGACGGAGTTGTGGCTCAGCTGTACTCAGTGTACAGGAGTAATCATGCAGCTATACACGCAGAGCAGATGCAGTTGTAGGGAGCACACAGGCAGCTACACAAAAGCATTGCTAACACCACTGTCTGATGGCATCCAGAGGTCTTCCCAGAGCAGGGTGGTATGTGTTGACCTCACAGCTGTGATCAGACCATTTATCCTCAGTGTGAGAGCCCTTTTTTATTTCATAAGGGTTTAAGTTGCTTTGGATTGCCTAAGTCCCACCACTTAAATTATAGCAAACTGTTTCTTCTTTCCAAGGGCTATATGTCCAAGGCCTTGGGAGAAGGTAGGTAGGGTCTTGTGCTTTAATCTAAAAATTGCATTGGCTTTAATTTAAACATGCATCAGATTACATTTGATATCTATAATCAATCAGCCTTTACCAATCCATCATTGGTAAGAATCCATCGTTAACTGGATCCAAAAACAGGCTGAAACACTAAACTACGAGAATCCAAAAGTGTGGAATTCTCTTCTGCAGAAAGTTTCAGCTGATTGCCCCCATATTGTTCGACACTATCTTCTCATAGCAGAAAGCAAAATTTTCTTTAATTTACTATTAAAATACAGACAGTGCATTTCTATATGAACGGTGGTTTGAGAAGCTTATTTTTAACAGATCTGCTCCCTCATCAACCCTGGATCTTGCCAAGCTCTCATAATGGCTGCCACAGAAACCCAAGGATCAGTTGACCAGTTCTAATCTAGATGATACATCTCCTCCTGTGACAGACTTCCTCCCCCGACACCTCTCGGAAAGGGTTCAGTATGATAGTTGTGAGCGTCAGTAATGAACCCGCGTCCTATCGAATTCCCGTCCTGTTGTTACCGAGCCATTGCTGGAAAGGTACACCGGGGCTTACTGCACACAAAGGCTTTCCATTTAAAATGGCCCTACCGTGCAACTGCCGCCGTTCCTGCAGGGATTGCTGTCGCACTCGCTGATCTCATGTTCGCAGTCGACGCCGGTGAAGCCGGGTTTGCACGCGCACGTGTAGCTGCCCTGGCCCGTGTTCATGCAAGTTGCTCCATTTTTGCATGGCCTGTGGTGCGTGCAGTAGTTCAGATCTGCAAAGATACCAGGAGTTAGGAGAACAGGTCTTTGACAGGTGGAAAAATATATACATACAAAAAGGCTGTAGTCAAGAAAAAAGACAGAATTTCCAATGAAGCATTTTGTTTTGGTATCGATGGGAACACGGGAGATTGTTATCTGGGTTATTATCAGTCATAATCAGATTACCAATCTATCACTTGGGCTCTGAATTTTGAAGGAGCTGGCAAAAATATAACTTTCTTAGTGTTTTGTTATATTGTCCCTTTTTTGTGGAGATAAAACTGTTAGTTGCAATTGGATTTAGGTACCAAACTGGAAAATGTACTTCATAAGCGTGTGTTCTCTGAAACACACACCATGGCACTATGGCCCCTTCATGTACAGCAAGCTACACACTACAAAACTGAGTCCCATCTCTAAAAGGTGTGCTCTTAGGCACATTCTAGAAAGGCAAGGAGGAAAAACAAAAGATGTTTTGGCTTTGAGATTTAAACAAACACTAGAAATCTTTTATTGTTTATTTGCTCTTTTGTTATGGATGTTAGTAGATTAAACTGTCAAATGCCCTGCCAAGCTTGATGGTTTTATTTTTTTTCCTTTAAATTTGAGACAGAGGTTAAGCATAAGTTCATAGGACGTAAGTAAGAAAAGCTTTATTATCTGTGTAAATATTATGGAGTAATTTGAATGCAACTGGTTAATAGATAACTATAAGCAGAAAAAAATCTGCAACTTTACTTTTCCTGCTTAATTCAGCCTTCACCATCTTAATCCTACAACTGTCCTGGAAACACTTAGCCTGATTTGAGCACTTAGTGATCTCAGTGCCAGCAGTGCATATATGGCCTTGAGAACATGACTGCTCAGCTGGCTCCGGTTCAGTGATTCAGTGGGTTGAATAGGTGGAAGTGGTCTGGTGTACCTTAAAATGGAACCTGTACTTTTCATTCTTGCTTACATGATTTTTCTCTCATGCTCCAGACTTATCACATGAGTTAACTTCCTTGCATGCAAAATAAGGAAGGCCCAAATGATGGTGTTTACTGCTGCTGGAAACCATTTAGTAAACTCTTATACTTGTACAACGAATAAGTTAAACTTATTCTGGTTTATTTCAGGTATTCTGCCTGCTTGAGCAGGCAGAAAACTTGTCTGTTCAACACTCATCCAGATTGTTAGGTCTTTGTCCAAGAGAAACTTCTTTTGCAAGAGAAAAACTGCAGCTACCAAAAAGGTTTCCTTGTTTTCAAACAAAATTACTACAAGAACTGGTATGTAAGGCTGCAGTGCTACAATCTGATGCCTGTGAAGATGTACCTTGGGGAAATTTAATTCCAGATCCAGTGGGTCAGATTCCTTAGTGTAGTACTAAAGGAGTACGCAACCTAGGGGCTGTAACTGCAAGCTTCAGAACTAACCTTGATCACAGAAGAGGCCACCCCATCCTTCATCACATATGCACTGCCATTGTGTTTTACAAGTCCCGTGGCGGCAGCCTATATGGGGAATGCATTCATCACAGTAGCGGCCTTGCCAACCAGGACGGCAGCTAAAAGAAAAGTCCAATTAAAACATTAATGACATGGAGAAGAGTTTAAGTTTCTATTACAAGGTGACATTTTAACTGATGTTCAGACTGCATTTGCCATCTACTCACATGCACTCTCCAGGCTTGTTGCAATATCCATTCTGTTCAGTACATCCAGCCAGACAGATGGCTGTGAAGAGAACATAAAAAAGCATAAATGTTTAGGTGAAAACACATGGCACTACAGAATACACTTTTAAAGGATAAAAAGCTTTTAAAAAATACTTCATAAAGAGTTTTACACGTTCAAAGCTTTGTTTTAAAACTTCTTGGTACGGGGAGTTCTGGAACAGGAGGAAGTGAATAGGGAGAGCCAATACTTGACAAGCTGTCCTTTAGTTTTTCTGTTTATGCAACAAACATGAACTCTTGCAACTCTTGCTAGAAAAGCAGCTAGAGAAAGCGGCTTTGGCTTGTGCTAATGAAAGGCTGAAAAAACTCAATGATACCCTGAGCTCAGAGTAAAGGCTCCCACGACTACACTGCAACACCCATCTCATGTCCTCTGGCTGCAGGAATGGTTGGTGGCAGACTTTGTGTGAACAAGCTGCTACCCTTTTACCTTGCAACAGCCACTGCTATTCAGGGCTATCAGCCAAGGTCCCTTTCCTGCCAGCTCGCTCTTTGCTGCTAAGGCTCGCATAGGTGCAGCACAGCGTTGGGTGGTTGCAGCCAAAGGGGCCAAAGTCCTCAGCGCGCACCTCTGCCTCTCTCACTCTGACAGGGAGTGGAGAGGTCGGCACGAAAACACGGCCCGGGCCACGGGAGGCCTCCGTGAGCTTTAGAGGC